GCAGCTTCAAAGGGAAACTTCAGTATCCTTCAGTTAGGACTGTATTTCCCCTTGTTTTTGTGTCTTGTGTCCGAGTGTCAACTGGAAATGTCAGTTTGTGAAACTGGTCCAGTAGAGAGCGCGCTGCAGCTGGCAGCCGAGAAACAGGCTGCAATGTAACCACCTCGTCAATTTCAGTCCATTGAAAGTGCTTGTTTTTGCCACTGACAGGCTCAGAATGTTATTATACGTGTCTGACAACATAATGAAAATGATCCCTACAGAGAAACAGAACGTTTTTCTTTACCTTACGCTGCATCCGTCCATTGAAACCAAGTCTGTTCAAGGAGAAGTCTTGTTCCAAAATCTCGTGAGAAGCGACTTGTTGCAGGAAGACAACAGTGGAAACGACAGTGAAAGTTGGACAGTGTTGTGTTAGAGTACAGAGAGTGTACCTTTTGATGTGTTCACATGGGATCAAGCAGACAGAATGGCAGTTGTATGAAACAAACATGACAACATGTTACGATAGTGATGTCAAAGTGTTTACAAAGAATGCAGTAACATATTACATACAATTATTTTGTGTGTATTATTTTATGTAATCATTCTAGTTATGTCTATGAACTGTCCAGATCGCCTGTGTTTTTGCCTTTTGTGAAGAAGCTACATTCTGTTATCAATTTCGTTAGAGGACTGGAAAAAGTTAAAATATTTAAACTTTAAAAGGCAATGCCATCTACTGCTACCAATGCCGGTATTCTCTGCCGGCCAAAGCTAACTTTTTTTCCCCCAAGATTATTTTTTTGGTGATTCTTGCCTTCACTGATAGGAGAGCTAAGATAGACAGGAAAGATGGGAGAAAGAGCAGGGCTCACATGCAGCAAAGGGCCATAGGCCAGAATTGAATGCAGAGGACCCAGCCCACATGGGGCACACACTCCACCAGGTGAGCCAGAGGTTGCCCCGCCACAACTAACTTTACCGTCCTGCTGTCGTCCAATAAAATGACATCCAGTTTGCCAACTACTGCCTGCCTGATTCCATGTGACTGCAGCATAATTGTGATCTAAAACAATTTTTGTGACATGGCCCAATATTTAGCTGATTTTAACAATGTGGAAAAGTCTGCCAGATTTCAGAACGAGACTTCTCCTTGAGCGAGACTTAGTTACACAGGATGACAAACGGACCAGCTCAAGTCAAAGGTAAAGATTTTTTTTTTTAACTTATGATATTCTGAGCCTGTCAGTGGCAAAGAAGCACTGGTAGTAGACGTACATTGACGGTGCACAGTTGCCCTGAGTGTTAACACTGCAGCTTGTTTCGTGGCTGCCAGCTGCAGCTCTCTGTCAATACTGGACCAACTTCAAAAATTGTCTCCATGAGTCAGTTAGACACAAAAACATGGGAAAATAGAGTCCAGGTTGAAATATGCAAAAGATTCCCCTTAAACGTCAGCCCTAAATCATTTAAAGGATATCTTTTTTGTCTTATATTTATGGTTTTGGCCATCATTTTTTATCAGTTGTGATGTCACTGTACTCACCAAAGCAGTTGCTGAGGTCAGTTAGGTTGTACACAATTAAAGATTTTAGTTAGATGATTTTATTCACTTTACTTGGAGGTAAAGCCAAGCCTGAGTGCCCCTAAAATGTCTGTCATAATCACTAATTGCACAGGAAAATTGCAAGCGCTCACTCTGGCAGATACAGTGGGTCAATGGTTAACCTGGAGGTCAGCCTATAAACCATGATGGATGTTTGCAAGAAACAGTTGGATAATATTTTGCTGCTTGCGTTCATTTTCCCGTCTGAGTGAGCGTGGCTAACACTGAGGCTTGTTAAACCCAAAAGGATCATCTGACTTCCTGTGTTTCTTTCCCCATTTGACCATTTTTTTTTTAGTATTTTTTAGACTTCAAGTGTAATGAGCTACAATCATGCACAGACATCTCAGATTTGTGCCGAGATTATAGACATGTTACTTATGCAATATTTCCTCCTGAATCTAATAGACCTAGATAGTGTATAAATATGAATCATGCATTCCCACACTAATGAGATATCCACATTTAGCATCTTGTAATGAGGTTTGCTGGCCTAATGTTGCATTCACATATTCCTAGATTAAGCGAATAATGAATTCCCCCTCAAAACACACCAAATCCCTCTTGGGCATTATTTAGATTTGAGCTCAGCATTGCAGATCCCCCCCCCTTGGTTAATTATGCCTCTCTTAGTGGGGTATAAGCTAATAAGGGAGCACCAGGTGTGTTAGTGGTTGCTGACGATCACAGAATCTTGATTGGATGCAAAAGTGCTCGGACTGCACCTGGAAGCTCAGGGTCGTTAAAGGTCCCAGACCCAATCAACCCGATTCCCCTGTTTGGATTGGTCTGGAATAAAATCAATTGTGTTCAACTAGCTGGAACCTGAAATCTCGTCACCCTCGAGGTCTGTACAGATCATTTGCTGTAGGCAAATAGATCTCCTTCAGAACGCTTACAACTAATTTACCGGTGCTTGTTTCGTACCATGTGGGTCATGTTATTACAATCAGGACATTAGAGAGTGCTGGGGCTGCTATGGTGACACACTGATGAAGACAAACATGCATGGAAAAAGCTCATGAGCACTTTTCAATGTTTTCCACTAGCTGTGTTGCTTTGACACAAAACCTGACATCCAAATAATTTGCTGTAGGGCTGCAACTAACAATTATTTTCATTTCACTATTAAATGATTAGTTGTTCAGTCTATAAAGTGTCAGGAAAATGGTAAAAAATGTCAATCAGTGTTTCCCGAAGCCCAAATTAACATTCTTAAATGTCTTGCTGCGGCATATTCACACGGGATAAGCAAAGTCTGTATTTTACTTAAATTTTCTGACATCATTATCATTTGTAACTCAACTCTACATAAGGCAGAAACACTACACAGCACTACAAGGGGTGACGTACAGTGTTAACCTCCTTTTTTCTCTTGCATGTAGGTTAAACAAACAGAGCTGATTCTGCCTTTTACTGCACATAGGTCTCCATGCTGCACCCAAAATGCTGTCAAGACTTTCTGTTATGATTGCCAATGCAGCCTCCATAATTCTCGACTGGGAAAGAGGCAGACAAGAGGCGCGGAAAAAACAGAAAACCCAAATACTGTACGACCCCAAATCACTTGCTGATTCGTATGGGTCAAATACTGTAGCATGACCTCTGTGTTTGGTGAAAAATAGTAGGTAATTTGTGGAGGAATTTTCACTTGACAAATTACAGACATGGCAGATTTGCACAGGATTAAGATCACAGATGACCTCTGAAATGATGACAAATTACCAGAGGTCCCCTGGGTAAAGCTAGTACAGAAACCAGAAAATATTCCCATTTTAGAAGCTGGAGTCAGAGAATTTTTACATTTTTCTTCTTAGAAAATTACTCAAACTGATAAATCTATCATAATTACTAACTGATTATTTGTTGAAGCTCTACTTTGCTGCTGTGATTTTTATTGTAATGGGAAAAAAAAGCCAAGCCATTTAAGGAAATTCCAAATTTACTCCCTCTTTAATTCATGCACCTTTAAATGGACTTAAGATTTATCTGTTTCTTTAGAACTCACAGTAAAGCTCCTGCCAGGATTCACCATCAGCTCCCTTATCAACACCAAAATTCTGCATCCAGACCCTCAAGGACCATGTTTATCCTATATACTAAATACACATCAATCAGACAATTTGTACTGCAACTAGGACATCTATATTTTAATGCACATCCAGGCTTTTTCCATCTTAATCTTCATATATATTCAGCAGATGGCAAACGCTCCATGGGAAAGCTGGTTGTGTTGTCGTGTTTCACCCAGTGGAGATGCCCTTGATCTGTATCCAGTAGTGGTGGTGTGTGTGTGTGTGTGTGTGTGTGTGTGTGTGTGTGTGTGTGTGTGTGTGTGTGTGTGTGTGTGTGTGTGTGTGTGCGCGCGCGCGCGCGGAGGGCTTCTCACTCCGCTGTGAAATAAACACAGCAGATAACATCTGTGTTGGTATGCTGCACCCTTGTGGTGCTCAGCTGCTACATCTCTATAAGTCCAGATAAGGAGGCTGCCTGGCTCCAAGGGAGTGAGATTGAATCTGTGGCATTTCACTCGATAAAGGATCCCACTGCATTTTCCCCCAGATTTAACAGCCTCCAGTGTGTAGTGGAGAAAACCATGGCACCATGGAGAAGTCTCTCTGAGCAGTAAAATGTTTTAAATTGCTGTAAATGTGCCACACCAACACTTATCTCTGTCAAGCACTGAGATACTTCCATGTATTCACAGATCAGCAGATGCAAAAAAAAAAGGAAGCCGCGAGTCCTGGCGGCCCAATCATGCACATTTGAGTGCACGGCGCACACACTCAGTCCGATCCCACCAGTCGATTGTTCTCTATTAAGATGTCCTTTGTCTTGGAGTGCCGGCCTTGTTGCCTTGATCTTGCAGAGACGTCTCACGCAGTGGAAACTTGGCTACTGTGCAGCCGTGGTATTGACAGTGCAAGCGTCCCTAGGAGGTGACAAGGACAGCAATTGATTGGGACTAAATGAGAGTGAAGAGGAAGATTGATTGCCATCGATCCACTTCCTCCTCCAGCAGGCTCCTCCATCTTTGATTATGACCACTTTACGCCCAATCAAGTGTGTGTGAGCTGTGATGGGGGAAATCCCATTGAGAGGTATTAGCTCCATTTGCGAAGGCTGTAATTATGAGAGGATGTGAGGGCCCAAGGTCAACGCGCAGCAGGTGCTATCAGGCTGCATGATAATAATAGGGCTTCCTCTTGCTTCCCACTGCAATTTAGTCATATAGATAATAGGCTACGGGTAAGATGGTGTGTTCTGTGTGTGTGTGCCCGTGTTCCTCAGAGGACGCTTGCTGCATAATAAATGTTTCCATAATAACGGCTCGAGGACAGGAAAACAGCTAGCTGCGGTGTAGCTCGATCATTTGCGATGCAGATTAAAAGATAACAGCGCTCCTTGTTGCTTTTTTTCCACAATGTTTTTTTATTGAAAGCTTCATCAGAGAGAGAAAAAAAACAACTCATAAAACCCAAGTCAAATCCTAACATCCACAGATGTACAGATAGTTTCTCAAAGATCACACACACTGAGCAGCGTGTGCGAGGCGTGACCATGTCCTCCTCGGCGCTGAAACCAAGAAAAGTGAAAAACTAACGAAAACAACAAAAAGAGAGAGAGAGAAAAAAAAAATAAAATAAAAATTAAAAACCGCTCTGCTGTCCTAATAAATAGTTCCTCTTTTAATCTGGTAAACGATTCCCACGCCCAACGCACTTTCTGTGCAGGCTATCTCTAAACAATTTGGTCGGCCATTTCCTAGAGATTGTTGGATTTTGTATTTCTCAGGGAGCTGTTTGAACTCCACGAGGGGCTGTGCTGGCTGGCTGGCTGGCTGCGCTCCTGGGGTTGTGTGGCCAATCAATAGCTCTCATCAAAGGTGGACCGAAGCATCAATTAAAAAGCACAGGGCCTCGCTCTTGTGGGGGGGCAGTTTGAGCAATTTTCCCACTGCATTATGTGTGCGGAGAGTGTGTGAGTGTGTATGTGCTGGTCTGTGATGAGTTATTGAGCCACGGTTCTCTTTTACACTCAGTGGGAGACGGGCTGTGAGAGTAACTCTGAACTACTGTTTTCCTAACACACGAGAATCAATGTGGAATGGCTACAACTCGGTTCACGGGAAACCTCGCGACAAGTGGGTATGAGATGTGATAGATCTAATGAGTTGACCCCTGTGACAGTGCGGAAGCCACGCTGCATACATTACTTTGGGGATCATGTCAGATTTAAGTATGGTGGCAGTGATAGTGAGAAACAGTGAGTTAGGGACGGATTGAGGAGACTGTTTTTTAAAAAATAAACACAGTGAAGAAAGCACCTCACCTTGAAAAACTGACACCAGATAAGACCAGGATGAGGGTAAAGTCTCAAGATTTGTGTTTATCAGGTATTTCAGAGAAGGTATAAGCTCACAGGAGATCAGATTTACTTTGTAGAGAGTGTGGGAGTTATCCACAGAAGACTGACGGGAACGGAAGGTTGCATTTCCCCGCATTGCTCTTAATGTACAGAATTCTTCCTTTTCCTGTATCGAACAAAAGTTGGAAAACAATTCTGAGCATCTGCTTTCACTTCCTCAGGGCACCAGATGAGTGAGATTTACTGCATTGTGACACTTAAAATGTGTAATATGTGATTGCATAAACTTTGCTTTCACAGTTTGGCACTATGGCAGCAAACAGTAACATCCTGACACTTAAGTAGTCAAACAGAGCACCAGTAGGGCCCAGGTTTACTCAGCAAAGTGAATGACATCCCAACAAGGACACCTCCAACCTGCTGTCCCTGCTAACAGAAACTAATGAATGTGATGGTGGCAACTTGGCCTATAATTCATGAGCCTGTTTCACAGTAGTCATTCTGGAGCAGCACCTGGACATGGATTGCAACTGGTGTCAGCGCCACGTTTCACAAATTCTTAGTAAAATGTGTCAGAATTAATAAAGGACATGATGTCATGATTCAAATCGCAGCTTTCATGATGCATTTGGTGAAACAAGCCCTTGGATCTCTGGCCAATCTTCGCGAATACCCCTTTTCCACCAAATTCGCTCTGGTTCTTGAACTGGTTTCGAATCTAGCAAACCAGCCCACTTTTTTGAGTGGCACCATTCTAATCAAGAATGTCATCAAAGGACTTGTGACAACTGAGTATGACATGTGATACATCTAATGAGTTCACTCCTGTGACAGTGACAAAGGTGAGTTATGGACGGATTGAGAACGCAGTGAAGTAAGCACCTTGCCTTAAAGAACTGACACCTGAGGAGACCAGGATGTTGCAAATTTGGTGATATGGGCCGCTGGATCTCGGGCCAATCTTCACTAATACCCCTTTCCCACCAAATTAGCTCTGGTTCTTGAACTGGTCCCGTTCAGGATTCTTGGAACGTTGGTGCTATCTACCAACTAGCGTGCTTTTCCACCAGTTTGGAGCGGAATCTTTGTCACCAAGGATGTGTCATCAACAGAGGGCATTGCACACTGCACATCTGTTATTACAGATATTTGTTTTTAGCAAAAAAAAAAAAAAACAAGCATGAACCAATGGTTAATGAGACCACTGCATGCTCTCTATTCCCCAACAATTTCGCACTTGACTTCTCCATTGTTGCCCTTTCTTTCTTTCCAATCTATAGAATATGACACGCCCATTGATGTTGTCACCGTTTGCACTTCAAGAAAAACCTGTCATTCTCTGGTTCCAGCTGAGAACCAACATTTTGGGCTCCAAACCAATTTATTTTTGGTCGACATGTTCAGACTGATTCAAAGTTAGGTGCGGGAACCGGATCGGAACCTGTTCCATGTTGGTGGAAAAGGGGCATGAGAGTACTTGAGATCCTAATACCTCAAGAGAGCAGCAGATTGGAGTCTGAAGGGTATGCTGATGTGGACTTGAAGAGGGGGAAGGAGGGAATGCAGCTAATGCAGATGGATGGATGGAAAGTGGTGGTAAGGTATGGCAGAGGTGGAAAATGAAGATCAACTGGGTAGAAAAGGAGTGAAAGCGTATGTCTATGTGTGATAGGAGAGAAAGAGTGTTGCTAATTAGTGATGGGTCAGGCAAGGTCACCTCCTGGAGTCCTGTACAAAGGACATACTGCTGCATGAAGATGGAGAAACTCTAGGCTATGACCACTTCTGCCCGGCAACAGGAGCTAATGATCCCTCTCTCTTTCTTTCCCACACACACACACACACACACACGCACACACACTCTTTCTCTCCTGGTATAGCTGGCTCCTGGTTTGTGCTGACACATGGGCTGACTGGGAGCAGAGCGTTTCTGCTACAGCCTCCTTAAAATTGCAGACATGCCTTCTGTACACTTCCGCAAAGGTACTGGTATTCTAAAAAGATACATTATGCCATTGTGCTATTAAGAAAAAGCCATTTTCTGTTTGTTCAGTCGGTTCTTTCAGATCTCTGTGAAATATTGGTAGCGCACACCAAATGCAAACACCTGCCTTAACATCTCTTTTTTCTGTCTTGAATCTCCATTAGCAAAACAGAGCTGATATTCTTTGTTGTGCATTTTTTCCCATAATCTCTTGGCTATTTGTAATCCTATTTCCCATAATGCCATTACTATTGAATCTCAGGCCATTTGTGGGACGCTCTGCTTTCCGATGTGCAACTCCTGCATTATGAGTCCTATTAAGCTTCAAAAATGTCTCCTCTACTCTATAAAACAGCAGCTGTAAAAGTCTAGAGAACTCGGCTATAGCTACGCTGGATTCACAACCTCGCTAGAAGTTGTACTGTCGAGTAGAAGAACTCTTCATGCACGCACACTGACACACACATACTAGCTTAAAACTGGTAATGTTGTAGTTTAGCAGCTCTGTTCACACTTAAAATGACTCAGGGATGGAACCTAGCGAGTTGATGTGACAATGACGAACAGATAAGCGGCATGGGGGAAGTCCAGGGAGCTCTAAAACTCAACGTTTGTCAGTTGTTAGCCGTTAAAGACCGTAATGCGGCTTGTTTATGGGAAGATAAGAGCAGATCACAGCCTGGAGGAGAGTACAAGCAGATGTTGAGTGGCAGATGAGATGAAAGGAGAAGGGCAGGTGCTGATTTGATTGTACAATAAACAGCTGAACGGTCATTGAGAGACGGTTAGAACGACACATTTGGCTTTTGACCTCCGTTGGTAGATGGAAGATAAGAATAAACAGCAGGTATTAATACACACTGAGGAAAAAGAAAATGTACGTATGGCTTTTAAAGGTGCAGTTCACCTCAGGAACCTGTGTGCCTGTTTCTTTTGAGTGTCGTCAAGCGGACAGGTGGCCTGTTAGGAGAGAGCTGATGGCCAAATGATCAACAGTGGCCGGCTTGTCACAGAGATCAGTGAACACAATGAAGGCACAAGCCTGAGAATGCTTCCTCTTTAGCACCATAGAGTAGCTTTGATATTGTGTAGCATTTCTTTAGCACAACTGAATCAAGCAAGCTCTTCCATGTGCTTTTTTTTGGAATCATTTGGAAGCTTCGTAAAAAGGCACTCGATGTACAATTTGATTAATAGTTACATACACTGCCACGCACGATGACGTAGCTTGCCTGTAATGTGCACAACATGCCATCATGGCCCCAAAGCGCACTGCTGGACTTAGATTTGAATGAGTCACATGAACTGCAAGAGCTCAATTGCAATTGTCACCAAACAAAAAGCTCCCTCTCTGTCTGGAAGAAAGGGGTCTTTTGAGGGACACTGGAGTGGATCCTATTGCCCCGGAGGGAGACAAATTGGGCCCGTCAAGCCTCATTGCGAGAGTGACTGAAATTGGTTTGTGGTTCTGCTTGTGCACCATCCAATAAAGAGAAGAAACCTCAGAGAGAGCGCGAGAGAGGAGGGGGAGAAAAGAGGGAGTGAATGAGGGAAAATGAGAGCAAAAGGAGCCTGGCTTGGCCATGGCACATTAATGGTGCCAGTGAAGCAGGGAAAAAAACGGGGTCTTTTTAGCGTCGTAGCCCCACAGTGGGGCAGAGCGGGCAAGCATGGGCGAACAGAGCAGACACACAGCGCTCCTGACACACAGAGTCTGCTGTAATGGGGGCAGAAATGGCTGCTGTCCCACAGGCAATTTCTTCTGGGGACAATCCTCTGAGATGAAATCATTGAAAACCCGACACAGCTCTGGGATGGAAAGACCGGATAAGATGTGACAGGGTTGTTTGTGCAACAAACTGGGACAACCAGGGGTGTAGCTGACACTCAGAGGTGGGGCAGGGGAAGGAACTGCCATCAACATCTTGTTATGGCTGGTGAGGAGCCTAGTTAGTTCCCGCAGGTGTGCTGACCTCCACCGCTTGTGTCGGGCAAATGATCAAGGGAACATTCAAGACAGACTGTCCTTTAAGCACACTTCTTCCTGGCCTTGTTAGTGTCACAGACTGATGGTAGTCTTACAATGCAAACAAGTCTTGTCTCTGTTCAGATGTGTATTAAAGGAATTGTGCCACATTACTTCACAGTAATTCCTTGCTGGTTCAATATTAGGGCCCTGACACACCAAGCAGACGGTCAGCCATCGGTCTGTGGCGGGTTGTGGGTGAGCATCTGTTGCCCTACTTTTGGTGATGGTGTGTCATGCTCCGTTGGCACTAGTCTGCCCTTGTAGGCTTTATTTCGGCAAATTCAGCATGTTGATTGGCAGTTCAGCTCATTGCACGAAAAGAGAAACAGAAGTTAGTAAAGCAAATAGGTAACTAAGGTAAAAAGGGAATGAGGTTGAAACAAACTTGTTTATGAGGTAAGATTAAGTGTTTTAGCCATTACTATATGCTCTTTAGCAGAAACAGTTTGTAAATGTTTGTTATTAAACAAACAAATGAAACAAAGGTAAATATGCTTTGTTCTTTAAACATTGGGTTGTGTTGTTAAGGTGCTAACTGGCTAACTAGCATCTTGAATCTGTCAGGCTGGTTACCCTTTTTAAATGACGAATACAGACTACCTCTGCCTGCATATATGGAAAGTTATTTCCTCACATGCAGGCACAGAACATACATGCTAGTGGGCTGTTGGCTGTTGTCTTTGTGTTGTGTTCAAGTGCAACTTTTTGGCTGAACATGAGCTAATGCAAAAGTCGGCTTTCGTCAGTACTAGTTCTTTGATTGCGGTTTGGTGTGTCGAGGTCTTTACGCTCACGATGACGACAAGACACCAGTAAATTACTGCCTTTGGCCAAGAAACAATCCGGCATGTGAACCCCTGTAACACCACAAGGTGGCGTTTTTATTCTCAGTTTTTTGTATAGATTAAAAAACAAGATATGACATATTAATCATGTCCTTCTAGAACTCTCTCCCCCTCTTTTAGATCAGATGAGTCCATAAACTGCTTTGAATACTTCGAAAAACCCATCTCTAGCAATCTGCCCCTGTAATTTATTTGCGTCCTCTGTATTTGTTTATGCGTCCTTTCTGTGTAAAGCTGTAAAATAAATCTAAATATTTTGTATGCCAATATCCCTACAGTTCATCAAATAATTCACAGACAGGAAGCTCATCTGTACAAGTTCGAAGGAGTGAAAAACCCCTTTGTGGCAAAATTTACGTTTTAGACCACAAAATGAAATACATAAACAGAGCATGTTGGGAGAGGGTAATATGAATAACAAATACCTGACAAAATTTATTTTACAGAACCTGAGATGGAACATGGAGGGGAAAAGATATGAGATGCCCCAGAACTTTATGAGAAAGTAAATGAACACAATTAATATATAACTAAGTAAATAAAAAGGTAAATGGAAGCAACCAACAATGGAGCGCACATCCACAGAGGTTCATAGAATTAATATTGAGACTGGCCTCAAATATAAAAACCCATCTCTAGCAATCTGCCCCTGTAATTTATTTGCGTCCTCTGTATTTGTTTATGCGTCCTTTCTGTGTAAGGCTGTATGCTTCTTATTTTTCTGCATCCGTGTCCTGTGAAGGACTTTGTAACCTTGTTTTAGTTAGTGAGCTTTAGACATGCTGGTAGGTGGATTTAATTACCTTCGGACAGAGCCAGGCTAGCTGTTTCCCCCTGTTTCCGATGTTTGTGCTAAGCTAAGTAACCAGCTGCCGTTAACTTCATATTTCCCATACAGAAGAGAGAGTGAAGTCAATCCTCTGATCTAACTCTCAGGAGGAAAGTGAACAAGCATATATCCCAAAAAAGTTCAATCATTCTTTTAAGCATTTCAATAACTTCTTCAAGGTTGTTTTATTATGCTTTGGCTGCCAAATGCGATAAGTCAGTAAGTGCCATAAAGTTTATGCAATCATTGCTAAAAGCTTTGATTTGTACACTTCTTGGGCCTAACAACTCACCTGATGTACAAAATGCAGCAAACACCACTCAACTGGTATTCAGGGTGGGTAAATACTCAAAAAAGTGACCTATGTTTGGTGATACATGACAGAGGGTAACAGGAGGTCAAACAGCAGCAGCAGCAGCAGCAGCAGTGAGGTTCCCAGTTCAACACTGAAGCTCAGTATGTTGAGAAATGTTTGAGTTAGTTATGGTTGACTTGAAGAGATAAAGAGACAGAAATCACTAAGGGGACAAAGCTGGAAGCAGTGTATCGACAACCACGGAGCGTAGCAAGCAACATTCCCCAATCTGTTTCCTAAAGTTTTCCCTGCAGGATCTGAGAGATAGAGAGAGGTGGAATGCACCCACGGTGTGTGAAAGCATCGTAATGAGACATATATAATGAAACCAAAAGACAAGAAGAAGAGGAGGTGAAGATAAAGGACTTTTGGTAGGACTGCCACTGGTTGCATCACACTTTAAATACTGTTTGATGTGTGTGTGTGTGTGAGAGTTTGTACAGTAAGTGTATGCATGTTGAGATATGTATCTGTGTGTGTGTGTTTGTGTGTGGTGTGTGTGTGTGTGTGTGTGTGTGTGTGTGTGTGTGTGACAGCTTGGACAACCGTGGAAAACTAGCTTAAACCCGGTGAAAAAGATGCTAAGAAGGATAGTAAGGACTGGTCCGGCCATCAAGGTCAAATAAAAAAAACAACGACAACAGCAACATCAACAACAACAATATCAACATTAACATCATCAACAACAACAACATCAACAACAACAAAATCAAACTGAAAAATGAAAAGGAAAAGAAAACAAAAAAAAAACAAAAAAAAAACAAAAACAAAACTCTGGTTCAGAGTGTCTCTTCATCTTTGGTATAAAAATGGCCATCCATGGGCTGCATTTGATCCACAACTAGGAAAGAACTACAGAAATTGTCAACAATTTCTTCTATTGCTTTTGCACTGATTGGTTTAAACCGTTAAGCTCCTACTGAATCTACTGTTTTTATTTCACTGCCAGAATTTTTTCCATAATTTTTTTTGTTCATTTTATCATTTTTTTTCTTTCTTCTTTTTTTTTTCTTTTCGCAGTGTGACAAGCAAAGCGGGCTAAAAACATCTTAAAGCTCATAAAAAAGGTAAAATGTGGCAGATAAAAAGCACTAATGTCATTGACAGCAACTTTGCCATGTAAAATAATAATTATGATAATAAAAAACAAGTTCAGCATTTGCAACAGACTGCATCCACAATGCAGCATGTTTTCTTAATGTTTTCTTTTTTTTTTTCCTCATTGTGAAAAATCTCTTCAAAGCTTCTTCTCCCCACCCACAAGTCTTTTACCCCAACAGACATTTTGTTTTCTTCTGACACTTAGTTACCTCTGACATAATAATTATCAAAGTTTTCTTCTAATGAAGAAAAGAAAAAAAGCTCTTCTCTATTAAATCTGTACAGCTTATGTGATAGATTCTTTTTTCCTCTTTAGAACAACTCAGCCAGTGTCTTGTACCCTCCGTGTGGTCCAAGAGACTGATTTCGTTTGTTATTTTTTTTTCCTAACCTGACGTCAGACTTTAACTCTGTAAAAAGTTTCTGCCGCCCTTCAAATTAAGGCCATGAAGATTCAAGAAAGAAAAAACACTTTGTTTTTGAATATATCTAGAAAACTAAAATTTAACACTAGAACATAAAAAAGAGTGAAAAGAAATTGTAGCTTAATATCTGAGGAAGACAATCTCTGTGTGTATCTCAAACTTGACTCCCCTTTTCTAATTACAAAATAAACTTCATCACCTACCTGCGCATTCAACCTTTTTTTTTGTCGTTTTCTATTTGTTTGTTTTTTTCTTTTTTTTTTTTTTTTTTTAATTGGTTGAGAATTTTCTTTGAGAAACTTTTCAAGCTTCAGCCCAGCCCTTCAGGCAGGTTCCCAGACTAAACAATTTCACTTCTTTGCACTGTGCCCAGCAATTTTCTCATCCCCTTCCTCAGCACTCTTTGCCTCCTTCTTGCATTGTTGTTTTTTTTCTTTTTCTTTTTTAATCATAGGCCAGGTAGGAAATGAAAAAAGTGTCTCTTTTTTGGTGCCTGGGCAATCTGGAAGCAATCTCTTTCTTTTCTCTTTTCCTCACATTCACAGTGCAGCCACCTTCTGTCTCAAGGCAACGCTGTCACAGGAACATTCGCTCAGGCCGTTGCTATCTGATGAAAGAGGAGAAAACAGAGAGAGAGAGAAAGAGAAAGAGGGGGGGTGCCATTGTAATCAAAGCACAATATTACAAACAGAAAAGCAATAGAGCTGACAGCTGACAGCCCGGTCACAAGACTGAGGCAAAATGAAGAATGTTAAACATTTCTGATGAGGTCAGGAAAACAAAAAGTGCTGCCAAAATGACGAGCAACTGACATCAGCAGCCAGGAATGATTTGAGTCATTCATAATTCCACTGTTGAGTCTCATTTTATTTAGATTCACATTTCGTATTGTGCTCCTTCACTTGTCAAAGACAAATAACTTGCACAAATTTGACCGCTTAAATCCAAAACATCCTAAAATAAATCTAAATATTTTGTAGGCCAATATCCCTACAGTTCATCAAATAATTCACAGACAGGAAGCTCATCTGTACAAGTTCGAAGGAGTGAAAAACCCCTTTGTGGCAAAATTTACGTTTTAGACCACAAAATGAAATACATAAACAGAGCATGTTGGGAGAGGGTAATATGAATAACAAATACCTGACAAAATTTATTTTACAGAACCTGAGATGGAACATGGAGGGGAAAAGATATGAGATGCCCCAGAACTTTATGAGAAAGTTTTCTGGGTTGAAATAAATAAGTAAATGAACACAATTAATATATAAATAAGTAAATAAAAAGGTAAATGGAAGCAACCAACAATGGAGCGCACATCCACAGAGGTTCATAGAATTAATATTGAGACTGGCCTCAAATATAAAGACATTAACTTGCTTTAGCTTGGCAGTAGGCGCGCTTTCAATGAACTAGCGTACTCCATGGTCTCTCCGCCTCATGCCCTGCCACTGGGAGACCACTTTGCTTGGAGGAGAATGAATGGCAGCTCGGTTAGTGGCTGTAGCAACATGAATCAGCCCTGGGGTCAGTGCAGGTCGGTTGCACATATAAAGTTTGCTGATCCCCGAAGGCCCCGACTGCCTATCGGATCAGCAAACTTTCTGTTGCTGCTGTTACACAGGTTAGAGCCCTGCTGTTACCCTGGCGCTGGGGTTTACGCTGACTGAATTCAAGTTGCTACAGCCACTGGGTACTCTTAGTAGTCTTCTAGCAGGGGTTTGTAGTCTGCTAAACAATAAGTTAAATAAAATCTGTGCCCTACATTGCTATTTTCCAAGCTACTGTAGCTATCATATTTCGCGGGACTGTCATGACTGTGGTTTCCATGGGAAAGCAGCCATCAAGGTTTTTGTTACATGGAAGTGGGCGTGGTTTCATCTGACGCAGGTTGGACAAACAGTAGTGCAGCCAGGTCAGATTACGCTTTGGGATGATAGTGTCCCTTTGCTCTTTATATTGTGTGAAAACTGTGCTTACTGCCAAACACTGATTTACTGTCTTTATATGTGGGGCCAATGTCAGAATAAAATCCTATGAACCTCGCCCACAGGTTTGTGCAGTCCACTGTTATGGCTGTTTCCATGGTGTGGAAATGACCCAAACTGACCTGAAAAATTATTGCGAGATCTCGCAAAAGCTCATCTTTTTTTATTTTTCAACCTTTGATTGTTTTTTCCCTCCACGTCCTTCCCAGGCTTTAATATGACCTTAAAGCTGACCTGCTCATTGATTTGTAACATGACCTAATACACACAGAGATATTAAAGGTAAAATCTCTGATGACAAATTTATATTTCATCACAAACTTTCATATTGCCCACAACCCATGCTTACACAAGAGTTTAAAAAATACGTGACAATAAAAATAATGTGAAAAATAACAAAAAAAACAAGCTTAATAATAAAAAGTATCCTGAAGAGAGAGAAAGCCATGTTTAAATGATTGACAGCAACTGTCCTGCTTCACCGTTTGACCTACTTGGACTGGTATGAGTAAGCAGGAACGTGGTCGGCAGCACTCTCCACCTGGATCTGTTGCTGCTGGCCAGCCACCTCCTGTGACGAGGGAGCCACTGTCTGGGGGGAGGCGTCCGTCACCACTCCCTGGGGACACAGAGGGGAGGAAATGTGTCAGCTCTGAACTTTAACAAGCTTCTCTCTGCAACGCTTGGCACTTACTGCTGAAAAGTATGTGACTGAATCAAGTAAAACCTCGGCTTCTACTACTTCTGTCTGCTCTGTACATACAGTACGTGTCCTCTGTCCTACTGTCCTGGGAGAGGGGAGTGTCCTCTGTTGTTAAAGGAGCTTTTTCTTACCCGAATCAAGTGTCTAACTGTACAGATTCAGACAAACTTATAATTTGGGGCTTTGAAAATAATATACAATAATACATAACATAATAAATAAAACTGTTTTGACATGACATAAAAGAAAATCAATAAAGTTGTGATTATTAACTTCTCAGACTGACAGGTCCATCAAGCATAGACAAGCAACTCACACACAGAACTTCATTTCAAATATAAACCTTTCCAACCAAGGATGCCAACATACCATCTGTCAGAAATGCATATAAAATAATGGCGGGGGCGCCAAGAATTTTTACATTTATGGACAGTAAAGGTGCGGCCGTGATATTTAACTCAAGTGTGCTACAGAAAAATACAAAGAATATTTGTCATCTATACAAATATTAAAGATCCAATAGGATTTAGAGGAATACAGTATTGGCAGAGATGAAATATACAATATTCATGATTATGTTTGTATTAGTTTATAATTACCTGTAGCTAAGAACTGTGTATTTGTACCTTTGAGTCAGCTGTTTATAGCTATATATGGAGCCAGTCGTCTTCCACACAAGCCCCACAGGAAGTATGCCAGGCTTTAAAACCAATTTTTGTAGTGGGCAAACAGTGGATTAACAATTTCAGAGTCCCTTACGTGATGCCATTAGGCCCAGACTTTTTCCCATAGACTTACATTGTGAAAGAGACGTCTGTTTATCAGTGGATACATTTTTCTGGGCGTCACAAGCCACGCAAAATTCATTTCACCATCAGAATTTGATCCATTTGGTCTGATAGCATTTTGAAAGTCTAAAAGAGCTGCACAGTTGAATCATTTTATGCCCATTCAAGTTAGCCGAGAGCTAAACTGGACGTAGCCATCTTGGCCACGGAAGTTACTAGTGCACCTGCTCTATGGGACCAGTGATGCGGAAGCAGTGCTGGTCATCCAGATAATTTCATACACAGCAATCTAACGTTTTTGGCTTCATGCCCCACTGAGCACCTTTCACATGGTAGGGGTCCCGCCTCCAATGCTGTATCCAGTTATCTTAATACATCCATGCTTCCACAGAGTCTGCCATGTTGTTTCTACATTAGCCCAGAACGGACAAATCAAACACACCTCTGCAGCTTCTACATGCCTGGCACATTGGAGACGTTTAAATTGGTTGCAATTTGCAACCTCACCACTAGGTGCCACTAAATCCTACACACTAGACCTTTAAACTGCTTAAGCAGAAAGCTTATTATGTTGAATACTGAATATGAATATTGGGATTTAGGGATTAGTGTTTTAGAGTCAATAAAAAGATCTTTAGTACAAAATGTGCTTAAGTGCTTGCAGACTTTTACATTTACATTTGAGGTAAAGAAAAGTCTTTAAAGATGACCATGTGCACTGAATTCATCACAACAGCCTCTTAGCCTTTTTATGTGTCTAGCAATACAGATCGCCCCCATCATTGAGTCATCTCCATCACCTTTAACAAGCTCTCAAGGATACTGCGTCCTGTCCATACATCAGCCCTCCAGACACTGGCTGATGCAGTGATATACACCCCGCTGCTGACGCTGGCATTGAGAGGACGATGGTGGGGATGAAATAGGTAAGAGGCGCCATGGGCTACAATACAACTACATTTCTCTCCTCTGTCCCACTCCTTCACGAGGAACTTTCAGAGGAGGGGGAGCTTTGAAGGGGGGGTATAAAAGAGGGGGAGGGGCGACTAATGGGTCTGTCAGGGGAAACTGTCATTGTCCGTGGCTGGTGGGCTAACCAGAGCTCCGTGGCTGACGGATGTGTGTGTTCCAGCTACCTACCAGCCCGGACCGGCTGTGGAGAGAGAGAGAGAGAGAGAGAGAGAGAGACAGCACCGCCGGCACTGTGTCTCACTTCAGCTCCTGTCATCTGATACACGACTGATAGTCCATCTGAATACGACCGCACTGTCAGCCGCCAGACAGCCGCCCCGCTCTCCTCGCCGGGCCTGCCTGCCCGCCTGCTCCCCATGTTCATCATTTCTCAGGCTGGACTGCCCGAACCTGCCAGGAGCTCAGACAGCCGCCGAAAAAGTGACAAAGTCTGTGCTGCACTTCAAATGTCTTTCCCAAATACTATAAAACTTCTGACTCATCTTGCTTTGCTTGCAGTTTTCACCCTTGTTATTTGCTGCTGGTGCGAGGCCATTTGTTCAGAGAGAATACGAGCAATTTACAGCGTGCTTCAAATGTAATCTGTCTATTTAATGACTGTTTTGGTCTGCTGATGTGGTGAGCAGGTTTAGAAATGGCAAAGAGAGGGATGGTAGGTGAAAGTGAGCGGGCTGTCAGGAGTAATGATGCCCTTCGTCTGGAAAAAACATCAGCAGATATTTGATTATTTCTAGGGATGCACCAATTTATTGGTAGAACATCGGTATCGGCCGATTTTCACCTTGTTGACTGCCATCACAAATAAAATGACATTCACTAACGGCAGTGGCTGATGTTCTTTCGTTGTGTCACATCAATTTTGCGCAGGCTAAAAAGCAGGGCTCCAAACTAATGCCATCCCATCATCAATAGGAAATATGTTTGGGATGAACAGAAATCTTATCGTCAGGACACAAGGAAGCAGTACACTGACTATCGATGTGTCAGAGGAAACACCCTATTTCCTTGATTAGGCTACATTGTGAACAACAGATCCAGACGAGAGCGATTTAACGTTAACTGTTAGCAGCCGGTGGCTAACCAGGTTACATAGACTTACATTATGGTGCGTTCAAACTCTGTTCAGTAAGAAATTTGTATTTTGCGAAGGTAAATTATAACGTTGTCATGATGTGTTCAAGTGTTATATTGTAAAATGTAGTTTTTGGGGAGAAACTTGACGGGGAAATTTATTGATGTTTCCATAGCAATATAAAATAGATATTAAAATGGAAATGATCACAAGGCTTAATTACATATAGTAATTAAGCCTTTATAGCAGTAATTATTTATGTGCAAGGTTAGATGTTTCATAAATGTGTATGATTTCATTTTTGCTTGTTCAAAGATAGTGTGATGAAGGACTTCAAAACAGTTAACAGTAATTTTCCTATAATAAAGATTTCTTCATTTCCCTGGCCCCCAAAAAATGGGAATTAATAATACTAAAAACAAAATAAACAACAACAAATCATGGGTATCGGCCCAGAATTTCACAATCAGTGCATCCCTAATTATTACTAAAAACCGTGTGCATGCGTGCGAGTCTTACTTCGACAGGGACGGCTGTTGGAGGCACAGGAGTGTACTGGGGAATGTAGGTCCCTTGCATAGGCGCCGCGGCAGCTGCAGCAGTCATGTACTGAAACACAAACGAAAGACAAAAGCATATCAAAACTCCTGCTAAACACATGACAATACACAGATGTTACATGCACCACACATTTGTGACATAACAAATCCCAGTCAAAAATGGGACAAAACACTGATATCACAATTCCCTGACAGGCTCATTCATTGCAATTATCACCCAAATCCAATGGGAATGTGAGCGTGCTGTGCCCTCAGCATCCTTTGGAGGGCGCTAAAAGAATATGTGTGCACTCTCAACAGAGCAGAGCAGAAGAGTGTGTGAGGTAGACAGACGAGAAGGAGGAGGAAGAGATGTCCAGTTGTTCAACCAAGACTTCACAGGCGAGCAAATGCACCGGGCCACAGCTGAGGAGAAGATAAAAAATAAAAAAGATAAAGAAAAAAAAAGTAAAGTTGGAAGAAATGAAGGAAGAGTGAGAGAGAGAGAGAGAGAGAGAGAGGGGGTGGGGTGGGGGAGAAAACAGGAGGTCTGTTGCCTGTGGCCTATATTCCTTTAGACATGCCTGCCCTGGCTTTTAACCGAGTGCTAGCTCACTCCTTGATGGCCATTTTACAGACGTGACACAAGTTCAGTTACATGACAGCCACAGGGCTTTTACATGCAATATGAATGAAGACACGGCACTTTGTGTAAGGCTTTTTTTGCAATGCATGTTGTGTGTGTGTGTGTGTGTGTGTGTGGTGGTGCTGGTGGTGATGAACACACGTCAGTGTCAGCCAGATTTGCCAGTGTGTGTGCTTCTTTTTAATTAGCACATGCCTGTGCATAAAAGATGACTTATCACTGTTTGTGTGTCCAACTGTGCATGTGGGTGTATGAGTTTGTTGTGTGCAGCTGTGTGTTGGGAACATACATGCATGTGTGTGTGTGTGTGTGTGTGTGTGTGTGTGTGACAGAGAGAGACAGACAAAGACAAAGAGGCTTGGAACGATAATGCTGCAGTACAGCGCCAACGGATGTGATCCCAGATAAAAGCCACCAGGCTGTCTCTCCGCCTCTCCTCGTCTTCCTGCTGCTTTTCCGGACCAAGAGAAAGAAAAAAAAGGGAAGTACAATCCCTTTCTTTCTGTCTTATTTTTTTCCTTCGCCTCTCAGTCCCCCTGCCAGTGCTAAAAAGCGTGGCGGCAGTATGCAGTAGGAGGCAGTAATGGAGGGGCTGTGCCGGGCTGCGGAGCCTTTCTTGGCCGCAGGCCCGGCGGTGCTGGTGAAGTGTCATTACCGGCAGCGTTGCTAATGGATCGGGTACGGCTCCACCGCTCACCGCTAATGAGAGCAGCTAAAGGCCATGGACATGGGTGATTAACTCCCCCACCGTCACTACACATGGCCAGGAGGATGCCCTGGGATGGATGTTAGTGTGCGTTAGTATGTGAGCGCGACTGTGTGGGCATGTGCGTGTGAATTTAAGGTTATCACACCTTCAGGGCTGTCACACTCAGGACCGGGCGAGGCGGCACATCCAGACTTCCTGACACATTACCACATTACCTCTCTGTGTCATCCCTTCTTCCCTCTCACCTTCCTGTCACTCGCTCTCTCCCCCCTCTCGCTCTCTCCCTCTCTCCCAACCTGCTATTGTCTAAAAGGCCCTATCAGGTTGTTGAAGTGACCTTCTCCCCGGAGAATCGAAACCATGCATACCAATTTTCTTCAGGACTTTTGCTCCTCGCTTCTCCTTCCCATTAACTTATTCAGTCAACTCACCTGTGAGGGCTGCTTGAAAGCAAATGAAGGGAAGCAGGAGATAATTAGCAATATCAAAATCTCCCTGTCAAAGGGAGGATGTCCATTTGAAATGTTATATTTCTCTGCAGGACGGCAAAAGGAATTTAAATGAGATTTAACAAGAAAATTTAATAAGATAAGATTTTTTCCTCCTACCATAACCATTAGTTAACCTATTTAATGTGGCAGATTGAGCGGGGCATATTTCTGCAGTCGTTGCTGTGGCAAGTCAGGGGGATGTCAAGCACGGCTACTGTGAATTGGGTTGCTATGGCGATAAAGATGATTTTTGTCCAATTTCAACTCTTTTAATACTTCCCTGTCCATAGTCAGGGGACAGGTTTGGGCAATATAAAACATCCCTAATTGGCAATAAATGGTGTTTCACTCTCACAGCCACACACACACAGGCACACATATCTATGCACACGCACACACACACACACACCTGCGACGGGAGCAGATGGCGTGTGCGTATGTTTGATGAACGGAAGGCCTGAATAGTTCCTTAACGAGGTTGGTGTGAGTAGACTCCTTAAGTCTCTTCTCCACCATCATTCTCCATGACATACAACTATAACTACAGTATAAAGTCAGACCGCAATGCAGCAATGCCGGGACGAAAAAAAATAGACGTGCCATATCATAGATGGTACCACTCTGGTACCACTGCATCCAATAAGACAGTGCAATTTATGTTTGATGGGTACAATGATGAAAGGGCAGTTTACTTTCTACTTTCAGTTTTCCACATCCACAAGAATTTCTCCAGAAATTGTCCTTCTGGCACTGGTGGAATGTAGCACAGCACGTTAGCATGTGTAAACGCTCACATAAATCATCCACCTCTGTGTCTGTCACTCAGCCTCCACATCTATCTACTCCCTCTGTGTTGACATGCTGTTCTGTCGCATCGTCTGCAAGGTGGAGGATAACAGTTGGTCAAGGCAAGAGCATCCAGCCACTCAGTGTAGGTTATTAATGGCAGAGCTGCGTGGGGATGGGCTCTGATGACTATTGATCTTAGCTGTGGGGCTCCAACACAATGGGAACTATTGGAGCTGCACATCGGCGGCTGTGAATCACAGTGCTGTACCACTTCACAGTGAAAAGCCCTCCATCTTGGCCCCCAGACTTTGCTAACACCCGCCTGCAGGGATAATTTTATATGGGCAAAATCAGTGTCGTCCTTTTAATCACTTCCTTAAACACATGATTATCAGCAGGCTTTTACACTATATAATTCTAAGGTTCTAGGTGGAGTTTTTGACCCCTAGTGGCACTATAGAGCAAAGAGTGGGTCCCTATTTTGCTTGTCTCACGCACATGTGGGTGACATTACACAGTCCTGATGATAGTTTTAAATTATTCCACTGATCTCCAGGTTCATAATTCATTGGCATTTTATACAACACAGAGATGCTCAACAAAGTGCAAGCTGTGGTGCCTTTATACTACACAAGAACTACAATTACCACCTTGTGGTTGTGTGCTTTTGCCAACCAGGCGAGCTGCAGTTACAGTTCACATCCATGTCCATCCAGACTTAAATAATTTATGTAGTAAAGACTTTGAAGGAATTTAATAAAAAGGTAAAACCTGGATGCTTCACACACAGAAGGTCTAACCGATTCACCAATTCAGTATCTGACCAAATGCCTCCCCTTCTGTTCCTCAGTTATGGCGTTGAGTATTGGCCTGAAAAGTGTTTTTGCAGAATGTTATGATGTCACAGTGAAGCTGACCTTTGCCCTTTTGGATATGAATCACTTCATCATTATATCCTATTAGACATTTGTGTGTATTTTTGTCATAATCTGTGCATGAATTCTTGAATTACATCCCAAAACATGTTTTGTGAGGTCACAGTGACCTTGACCTTTGATGAAGTTCAGTCTTGAGTTCAACTAGACATTAAAGCTATAGTTGGTAATCCTGTTCAGAAACACTTCTTGTTATACTGGGTGAAATGGTCCTTCCATCCTGAGAGTAGTCAATACATAATGTGTTCAGAAAAAGGAAAGAAAAAAATCAGACCTCAGTGGCAGCTGCAGGCCTGTAAAAACTCTGACCAATCCCTGCCATTCGGTGCGAATGGAAAGAACCAATCAGATGCCTTCATGTCTCATCCTGTCCGAGCCCCCCTCCGTCCCTCCCTCCCTCCTCCCTGCGTGCACTCATCATGTGTCACCGTTGCCGGAAATATTCAGCACATTCCTCAGCAGAAATACCGAGTTAGCAGGAGTTTGCTGAACAACGGCTCGCCCCGCTAAACAGGCTGAGAAAAGAAAGTCGGAGGCAGAAAAGGCTGCGACGAAAAAGGCTTTGGATAAAGTGAGAGGACAAACCAGACATCAACATCGGTGCAGCTTTTGAATGGTGGAGACAACTGAGGGAGCTGAAGGGCCTGAAAAGTGATGCAGAGGTTGATGTCTTTCTGTTAGACAGGTAATTATTTGTTTGCTTTGGGGGGATTTGTTATTTTACTCGGCTCTCCTCTGCCCTGCTGACTCCTACTGCAGGATGAGTGTTCAAGTTTGTGTGGGGCCGTGGCTTTGGACAGAGCACTGATGGGAGGGGGAGGAGGGGGTGGAGCTTAGAGGAGGTGCCGCTTTCAAATCTTGCTAGCTCTCCAACATTACCAACTATGGCTTTAATACCAAATTTGAGGACATTTCCTCCAGCGTTCATGAGAATAGGATGGACAGTGACCTTGACCTGTGACCACCAAAATTCAGTCAGATCATTCTTGAGTCTAAGTGGACATTTGTGCAAAATTTAAACTCTTGAAATGTTTCCTATGTTCCTATATAAATATGGCTGGATGAGCCCAAAACATAATGCCTCTGGCCATGGCTGTTGCTCCTATAGAGGCATAACCCCTCTATAATAAACCAAAGAAAACAAAACAAGTCTTACAGCCTGAGGAAAGAAGCTGCTCTACAGTCTGCTGGTACTGCAGAAAATACACTACTTCTGTGTTGCTTGCCAGACGGCAGCAAGGTGAGCAGGCTTGGGTGGGTGTTGTCTAAGGTATTGTCTTTCAGTATCCTTTAGGCTCTGTGCAGGCGCCTCACCTTACAGTTATCACCGATGCTCAGTAGATGGGTAACAGTCCTGTAATTTAATCACTGCTGTGGAGCCCTTCTCTCCACGTGCATCAAATGCTAATTTTTAGGATGCTTTCTATTGCTCCTCTATTAAAGTTTACAAGAACTTGGCAGAGAAGTTTTGCTTTCTTAAGTTTCCTTCATAAATAGAGA